GAAACTCACAGTACGAAGTCCACTGAGGTCGGCTCCAAGCTATATCCGAAAGTGCATTTCAACCAGACGTGTTTATCGTCTTTCGGACCCTAAGCTGGGAGTCGAGACGCCGCAACCGAAGCCAACTGAGAAGTGAGGGCCTTCATTCCTCTCTCTAACCCCCTCTTCTTCCATCCACACCCCCGGCGCGCAAACAACGCACGTGGTGGGAGTCGCTGGGCTGGCATGCGTAACGCGTGGCTGAGCCATCGGAGCCTGGTGCGTGAAATAACTGTGCTGAGGGATTCATTTCATTTTACTGTGCCGTAAACAAGGCGTCGAACACGCCCGTTGCTCACGCAGTGTTCCCACCTGATGTGAGTTAAATTGTGAAGGCACCGGTGGTCGAAAGTTACTAGCCTATATATATATATATATGTATATATATATGTATATATATATATATATGTATATATATATGTATATATATATGTGTGTTTGGCGGTATCCGGTTTCGGATTTGCTTGTCACTGTAGCCTGCCACATGACGCCTGCGTCTACAGAGGTACCATGGGTGGCTTGCGCTGTACCGCCCACATCTCCAACCATACACCCCTTATCCAGTGTAAACATGAAGGAATAAGGCCTGGAGACATGTGGATGGGTGGATATGTAGATATATATGAATATACGCAAATAGTATTCCCTGACATATTATTCTTTAGTTGCTCTCGTTAACGCTAGAGACTTTCCTATTAGTCGTAGATAGTAGGGTTAGGTAATAACTTCAAACAGAAATACTGGAAGACCAACTTGCATTCCTATTTGCTATTAGCTTCTACATCCGTCCTAAACTTACCACGTTCCAATGTACAAAATACCTGTTTTGATTATGGTAATCGATGCTATTTTTATGACTTTTATGTCAAAGCGCTCTTTCCATTGACGCACTCCCTTTGTAAATGAATGATGGATAGACTTTCTCGTAATTAATATAGGAATATTGTGAACATTGGAATGTCACCCTTCCATTTTTGCGGCATAGACCAGATTACACGGAAATGCAGTGAGTGCCGTATGCTATAGACATCTAAATATTGCTTGCAACATTCCGCAGCTCCTTTGTGAACCAAGTAAAATTGTAGCCATCGTATCCACAAGAGAATTTTATAGTAAATATGGTATTAAATTGTACGGACATGCCACAGAACAACGTTTTCTCACACAAGTGTATACCACTGATTGGTGCGATGACTCCAAAATCCTGTTCTATTATTGAAACGTGAAATTGACTATTCATGCGCAACACAGTTGACTGCGATACTAATGGTATACGAACAACGCTATTTAACATAAACCACGTGCTTTCAGTGGACCATACTCCACATTAACTTTAATGACATTTAAATTATTCGTCTGCGATAAGATAAAATCAGTATGAAGAGTCGTGAAAAAACATAGAGTTATACGCTCCAGAATAGTATCACGATTAGATTTTTCCATGTCTGGTGTAAAGTAAGTATTGTCTTAACTGATGACCTTTCCAAAAAGTGTCATAAACCATCCATATTCTGATATCCTGCTTTATTTAGTGGCAATAGAATTTATGCTCCACAGTTATCAATTACACTGTGCATGATCATTTTTATAACAGAGAAGAGTTAGAGATTTTATTATATTACCAAGTGAGCTGATAAAGTATATGCAAACCAATTGTTTCTATCACATACGGTAATTTAATTTCAATCTTGCATTTTGGATAAGCATTGGGCTCCGAGCATGGGATCCTCACCTGTGATCGGTTCAATGGCTCGCTGTAAAAGTATAAAAGATGTCATCGTGGCCAAGGTATCCACTTAATACTGAAAGTCGTAGGAGAGCTGTGAACACATACTTGATATCTTAGTCATTGCCGAAAGGCGCGGCTGACAAAGAGCAAAATCATTTGTGCTGCGCCTGTGAATCCTTCACTAAAATTCGCAATGCAGGGATATTTCCTCACGAACGAAGTCTCCTTACCACCCGCATTTCGAGATGAAGTTTTACGATGGAGGGACGCCTGATAAGATCGTCACTGGCACGGTTGGATCACACCTACGGTAACGGCGTGGAACGCTAGCAGATCGAAAGGATTCGCGATGACCTGATGGCGTTAGCTTAGCCAGTATTACGCGCTGGTAATACGGAAATTGAGTGAGCGTGAGAACGATCCTAGCCGCATGTATTCGAGTAGACACTGAGCCCTCCGAACGGACGCACACGATGGGGTTTACGGTAGACGCGCACTAGTGACTTGGACGCGAATGCTGCCCGGGTATCGACGCACACAAACTCACATGATCCGACGGACTCCCAACTAACGGCGAAGAGAAAGAAAGGCAAGTGGTCCTCTGAAGGCTCTTTTACGAAAAACAAAGGGCAAACCACAGCCAATGTAATGGGTCATTACGTTAGGGAAAATAGCTACCACGTCTGGGTAGTATTTTGTGAAAGAACATTGTCAACAGGTGCGCAGTTGTACCGCGTCTTGGAGTGTTTGAAAGCTGCTACGTTGTGGGGAGGAATTGGACCCCGCTTTCCAAAACTATTACGCCGCAGTTTGTGGCGCGTTTTTCTTGGATATTTGATGGTCCCACAACAGATGCTGAGAGATCTGGATGAGAATTGGGCGCCAACTTGTTCTGTGTGCTGTGCAATCTTCATCTGGTTCGGTGGCTCAACGGCAAATACAACATTCCCTTTGCGATCCCAATGGCGTAGAGGGAGCTGAAGCATCACACGATATGTTGCTTCGTCTGCTTATCAAGTTTCATTGGATTCTCTAACAGAAACAATGATAATATTCATTTATACATTCTCCCACCAGCTATTCGACCTGTTCCTCTTGATTGTACCTTAACCATTCCATTGCTTCCCTTGAACATGTCACTGATGTTGAGTAGTGATTATACATACAACGTCGACTTCGACTGTTTTTGAAATCTGTGCAAAACTTTTAAGCTGTTGTTGTCAACTCACATCTTATTGCACACTCAGAGCTGAATGACTTGGAAAGTGACCTGGGCTTGCCTAAACACAATGCCGAGTTTTGGCATATCGGCAGCAGTAGTGCTACTTACTTGCTGCAAACCCTAAGGTTAGTGTATACTTAAAGAGAGATATTGGATTGTCTGGTTTCTATTGCATAAGAGATAATTTTTGTTAGTGTTCCGACATGGAAGGACTGACGGAGGAACGTATCGTGCGACATATCAATGATGAATGGTTTTTGTTCATTGACTCGTCCAAAATAGACTTTAGACCATGCTGCTTCACAATAGAAATGGGTACCATATTGTGCCTCTGTTAAATGCAATCAATCCGATGGTGACTTACGAAAGTATGCAAGAGAGACTCGCTGCACTGAACTACAATAATTACTGTTGGATAATCAGTACTGACATTAAAGTCCTTGTACTTCTGGTGCATATGCAAGGAGGCTTCACAAAATATTGTGGTTTGTTTTGCTAATTGGAAGGTAAAGTAACTCGGCATCACTGCAAATCATAAAAGTGGCGATTAAAGAATGGAGTATGCTGCAAAGCAGTGAATTTTAAGCAACCACCTCTTGTACAACGTGGTGATGTCTAGCTACCATCCCTGTATGTCAAGGTTGGTTATAATACATTCTTCGTATAAACCAACAAGCAAGGGGATTTGCATTTCACTACCGGAAACAAATGTTTCCGACGCTCAGCGACATGAAGCTCAAACAGAAGATACTTATTGGGCCGAAAAGTTGCTGGATAATGACAGACAGTGCTTTCGAATGCCACTTGAATTAATTTGAGTAACAGGCGCAGACTGTATATAATTTTTGGGCAGTACAATGGCAGAGAACTGAAAAGACTTGACAAAAATTATTGCGGACTATCGGACTGTGGGTGCTCGAATGTCACTCATTATGTACTTAAAGCATACTTAACTTAACTGTTTTCCTGAGAACTTTGGATCTGTTGGTAATGAGCATAGCGATTGCTTTTAACAAGACATTCAGAAATGTAGCAGGGCTACAGTGGCAAGTACACGTCTTGTATAATGATTGCGTTTTGCTAGTTTCTGCAGCGTGTTGTCGCTGGATCATACAAGCAACGATCTCTGCGAAGTCATCATTTCCCAGTGCCAAGCTGCAGTCAGTAGTTTGCGGCGTGTTGCCGTGATGTTTCAAACATATTTACCACGCTGATGCATTCTCTATAGGTTGTGATTCAGTAAATTTACATATAATTCGTACCTCGTAGTCTTGACATAACTGAAAGTATGCATTTGCTTATAACAATATAACCTAACATGCTAGGTAAAATCGGAATAATTTTCTACAATAAGTGGTGCTTATTCTATACGGTGGGGACATTGTAATTTTAAGTATAGATAATAAATCTTTTTGTTTTACAGTATATTTTAATGCTATGCGACTGGATATTTCGTTACATTAACCCTTCGGTATTTCTAAGCAATCGGCATTGGAAACTTATTACTCATCCAAAGCACCTTTGCGACAGCTCAAGCTATTGACATGGAATATTAGCCGTTCTTTCGTCACAATGGCAAATGTTCTTATCATGCTTGATGTCGAGTATGCTGCTGTTACATAGTAGATTCTACTAGCGACACATCTCGTCGCCGGCTAACCAGAATTCGTCTATATCCTTTCATTATTCTTGGTTTTTCAATAAGTATAAAGTTATTTCCACCATCACTTGTCACCAGTGAAATGGTAACAATTTTCATAATTATGTATGCTTTCTTAACGTGCGCCTATAGTAGCAAAAAGTGATAAGTTTACTTTGAAGCGAAAAGTTTTCACGTCTTACTGATCCGTTGTTGCCGGCTTGTGTGACAATGAAACGCACAGCGCCTATCCACTAGGCTGGTTCGCATATCCAATCACTGATGGCATGCCAGACAATTACCGGCCAATCAGCGGAATGGACAGATTAAGCTGTAATAGGTTCAAATATATGCCGACCATAGCCACTCTTACTTTCACATAGCAGGTTGTTGTCATGTTGCGACTATGCACAATAGAAAACTGAGTTATAATGCAAATCTTAAACCGGCAGAGGTCTCACTGGTGTGGATATTATGTGCGGTCGGACCGGATGAAGCAAACAATTGGCACTTTACCTCATACACCCTTCTCCTCCCAACCAACGGAAGAAAGTGTCCGACAATCATCTGACTTGAAAAGTTCAGGGTATTTGTTGAACATCGAACTACCCGCAAATGACGTTAATGGGAGACTGCGTAGTGAAGTTTTGATAACACAAATGGTGCAGCCCATTTTCGTGAACCAGTCGACCACCTTGATACCAACATGGCGCTCCACGCTCGACGTAGTGGTGGTTGCACTACTGGCCATACTAGCCATGGTAGCCAATCTTGGTTTACTCTACCTGGCCAAGTTAACTAGACCATCCGTAATTGGATTTAATTTAACATTTCCTCACACAAAAATATCGGAACAGACAAGCTCCGCCAAATTAAATGATTTGAAACTTCGGCTAAGAAAATACTCCTGTGCTTTCTATGAGCAGTCCAAGAGACAGGTACCTTACGGGACACGCGCATCAATTGCTACGATGGAACACAATGACGACGCACATTTGCGAAAATCTGTTTCCACAATCAGCGTTTCAAGAGCTGCAAACGGATTAAGCGGAACTACAAATATTTCAACGCAGAATCGTCCAACGCCCCGCACACGAAGACATCGCCGTTATCTCCGTGGACTTTTGGGATTATCTTTCAGCAACATTACAATTTCTCTAAGTTTACTATCCTGGAGTGCAGTCCAAATAGCACAGAGAACTGTAGCCGTTCCATGGTTGGCTATGCTCTGCGTAGCGAATACGGCTATCGCGGATATGGCGCAAGCCCTGGAGGTAGGTGCCGTACTGTGGATAGCTCTGGAACGCACATTGGGCATACATTGGCCCCGTGAAAAAAAGACTTCCACAGCCAACGTGGAAAATTTCAACAACCAAACCCCCTGCATGAAAAGAAATTTATTGTGTTGTTTGAAAGTTAACTCGGTAGCTGGTAAAGTGAGTCGCTGCAGTTTCAATCATCTTGAGTTTCACCATTCGGCCAGGTATTCCCGTCAACATAACCTTTCAAAAGTAAAAGAAAGATATGTTTGGAAACCCAAATGTGCAAAACGCATTTGGGCGTCGTCACGCGTTTTCCTCAGCTTTCTGCCATTTCTATTGTTTTTCATTGCATCAATTTCGGAATTTGTTTCATTTCTCCGACATGCCCATTCGGAATATGCTTCAAGTGACAGATTTCCACTGTTTTTATGGACAGATTTGTCCCTTTACGAAACAAATGGAGTGGTTAATTTTTCCAAAATTTGGAATGAATCGGTAAATGGTACGCGATTCGTAGCTGTGATATACTACACAAACAACATTGTATTAGCTCTAATTGTGGGACAGTTTCTCGTTCCGTTGGCCATACTTGTAACGACGAACCTGCTTATATATAAAAAGGTAAGTACTTTATTAATAACACTGACGTCACTTACGTATAGAAGTTTCTAATTTGCGTTTAATTGCCTTGAGATTATGAGGCTTTTTACGAGCTAAGGCGAAATATGAAGACAATTTATTAAATATGTTCTATATTTCGAAGACTAGACAGTTAAGCTACCAGTTAAACTACCGTTTGCCGACATATTTCGTACTAAATTTACTGTATCTCAATGCACATGGGTTAGTAGTTTTATCCCTATTCGTAGTGTCCTTAAAGTCCCACTACAGAAACTGACTACTTCGTCGATCCGGTTTGCACTTCTTGCGTATGGAAGCAAAAATATGTTAGAATTTACTTGCTTTAAATATTAGTGGCTACTCAGTTTACATAAATGTGGCGGATTATTGTAAATTTAACATTTTCGTCAAAAGGAGTAATTAGATTGTAGACAATTTGACGCCATTTTATGTGGATATCCTTTGAGCCTACTGGTACTAATGGCTTCCGGAATACTAGCAATTGCTAATCTTGCTAGCAAATGCAGCGTGGAAAAATTTTGTTCTCCTTATTTATTACCTCGATTTTAACAGGAATAACTGTCAGCTATTTTCTGAGCAATAGGTTTGTGGTGTACACTGACTCCTGTTATGAATGTGTCGGAGTTGTATTGTTTACCTTTCCTGCGGTGCAATACTCACACACTTCTCTAGAGGATAACGGGCTGCATTACTCTTGCATTTTCGCGAAACATAATTCTTGCATTTTAAAGATGTTGCTATCATTAGTGTTGAACACTGAAGGTGCAACCCCGATTGTTTGACATCAAATTACCTGAATTGGCGAAATAATTAAATGCATTACGTCCAGGTTTTGCGTATCTCAATATATGCAGGTCTTTTTCGCATTAGCCGGGGTTCAGTTACCATGATTAAAAAAGGTTAACAAGCATTGCTGTCGAATGAGTAAATGTGGCAAAACTTGATAAACATTCCCAAACTGCCTTCGATTGCCAGATTCATTCAAGTTTCTACAAGCAGTATTACTGGTAGTGTGATGTTGACCCATGACACATGAAGTGGCTTCTTTACTGTCATATGCGTTAGCACTTTACGATGTTAGTCAAGAACCACCTTATTAGTTCGGATTTGAATAGCCAGTTAATAAATGGATGGCTATGGCCAGTCGAACAGTAACCAAGTGGCCGTCGTAAATTTAAGATGATGCCATACGTAACAAGAGCTGAAGAAAGAATTTTACTCATCATATGTAAGACAACATATAATAGCACGGGTCTGTGTTTCTTCAATTAAGTTCACTCACGATAGGTGTTAATTGGATGTTGGGAGCAAGAGATATGTACAACAGTAAGTTAATCCCTGAGAAGTACACATCGGTGGTTAATTTGACCAGGTGTGGCAACTTGGTATTTCTTTTTTTGCATACTACGGTATCTTATATAAAAATAGTAATGTTTTGCTTTCAATCCGTGTACTCTTATGTGCTTTTCAACATGGGTAATTTATTTGTTTCTTCGTGGCATCCTTGTCATTACTTTACTTTAGGTGGCTTCAAGGGACAAACAATTTTTTTCCAGGCAATCCAGTAACACAAGCAAGTCATCTTGTGTCTCATCTATGTCTTTTGGAATGAGCACGTTCAATAAAATTCAAAACAGGCAGAAACACTGCGGTCCAAAGTTGGTTGGTGTGATTCCACTTTTGCGTGTTTTAGAAAGCAGTAGTCACGATGTCCGTGAAAGTGGCACGGGATCACCTACTTCTACTCCTGCAGCTGCAAACGGATGTTTTGCTAAAGAACCAAATATCCCTCTGGAATCCAATGTTAAAGAATCTTCTAAAAATTTATTGTCTGTACCAAATTTTGTGCCGGCCAATGGACCAATAGTACGCACGCCGAAAGATCTAACGATAGAAAACGCAACGCAACGTAGACGAAGTACTTCAGCTCTCTACCTCGACGAGGACCGTGAATTCCCTCGGTTAAAGGCAAACAACGGTGACCTATTGAACTGCGCAAACAATAACACTGTACAATTGCGTGTTCGCCGAAAAAGTAGCAGTGACATTTTTTCTGCGCTATTTCAAAACCGAAATTCAGACGCTGCAGGTGGCGCAAAGCCTGTTGAACAGCCACTCTTGATGCAAATGCTACGCAGGCAGCACAGGCGCACACTACGCATTCTCATAATCATTTTAGTAGTATTCGTGGTATGTCGAGCGCCCCGAGCAATAATCCTCATTCTTGGTTGGCTTCAAACATCCTCATTTTGTAATTTCCCACAATATGCTCATTATTGGCTTCTTTACGCAAGTCTTTGGACACATACCAGTGCAATATTTGATACTATAGTGTACGGCTTTTGGGGAAACCGAACATATCGTATGCATTTAGGACGTTGGTATGCTAAGAATAGATTTTGCTGCCAATAATCACTTTCACACTTACATGAAACAACCAGACAATCTTTTGTACCCAAACACCATCACGGTGTCTGAGTTACACCGCATTTTCGCTAAAACTTTAAATCTATGCTTCCATATGTTGAGCCCAGGTTTTTCATTATCTTTCAAAATCCCGGAATTTTTCTACTGGTAGTTATACCTCGAATTTAATGTATCGAAAGATAGTAAGATAATTATAAAATGTGCAAAATTATCCTGATCTTATAAGTTGGATTGCTTCCTTTTATCAAATTAAAGGTTACCTTAGAAGAATGGTTAAAAGTTTTGGTTGGTTTAACTTATCGACATGTGCAACCACGAGTAGCTAATGACTCACAAGGCGCGTCAAGCAGTTTAAATTAAATTTCGTATATCCTATTAAGCACACCGGTCACTGTGGTGCCAGTCGCAAGCATGAAATGTAAACTAAATTAAATTGTGATGGCAATAATTGACCTGACAGAATTATCGTTACCAAAATCAATGTGTATCACACATGTCTAGTTCCTTCCGACTAACGCTACGAGAACCAGTATATATATGGAGTTTCATCGGAGTTAAGAAACGACACGCTTCACACGCCCAATGGTTAAAGACGTTCGCCGTATGTTCCTATATTATGTTGTGGACAGTTTAATGGAAATCAGACTCCGTCGCACCACACCGAAATTCAGGACCATGATTAGGCGGCCGTATCTTTGGCATCGCGTCACTACCAGATTCTGTTGTGTGTGAACCCATGGTCTTACTTTTGTAAGGGGTAGCACAGAACCGCTAAGAAAAGGTAAATTTATAAGCAGCACACATTGCACGTTGTAATAGGAATCAACCAAATAAAGTTGCAATGAAAATACAGGCTAATTATCCTTATGCATGTTAAAGATGATTAGGCGATATGTTGCGAAACTAATAATTCTCAGCAGACTGGAAAAATTATAGGATAATGGAATGGTTTGCAAAATGAAAACTGTGTGATTAAGCTATGCTTGTAAAACGGACAAATTTCCTGCTTCATATTATTAGCATTGCTTGATCGAGATATGTACGTACTCATGGGCTGCATTAAAAACATGTGCAAATGCTAAGCAGCGTAATGCTATATAAAACGTATTTAAGCATATTTTGCAACGTATGTTAAATATGTGACAGATACCATCAGCTTACCTTCCATCTTATACATTGTTGCGATTAGCTGCCCTAGGCTTCTCCTGATTGGTTGAACTTCGCTCAAAGCTGGTTGACCGATTAATGACTTTTACATTCATTTTCGTCTGGTTCTGAGCCGTTGTACATTCAAACCAGCACTTAATCAATAAGCACTTGGACATTGAAGTCGCTTACGAGGCACTGCGCACCAGGCCCCTCAAGCCGCTCTGATGATGTTGCCGAGTCAGGCAACGAAACGTCTGCACATTAATTACTCAGCTCGGAGAACAGCTGAAAACCCGCATTATTACCATACACTTCTGTTACTCTGCATCTTTCTGATACAACACACAACTACACCTTTTCTCAATTCGTTTCATCGTTCCTGCAAATGTTTGCATCGGTCTCGCTTGAAGCTGCGTCGCCTGCATCATGTGGCACTCATGTGGCATCATGTGCACTCGTTTGAGCCATAATCAATGTGTATAAACAAACTAGAGGCAACTGTGTGCATGAATTCGTACAAAATATTTGTTGCATATTACGCATCACTTGTCTATTATTGGTGCCGTCTCAAGTAACCTGTAATTCACACTCAACCAGACATCACTAAATGAAACTAAGCATCAACAGTGCACCGGTACGCCATAAGTACAGTTCGCCGCCACGCATGCACTACCAACTGCGCCAGGGATACAGACACTGATAGGATTGGCAGGTTCCCTACGCAGCCTAATACCAGGGACTTTCGGTTACGAGGCAGACGCCTTGTCCTTTCTACCACAGGCCGACAGACATCATTAGGTTTCTCCAAGCTGCCAATAAGAGAACAGACAAAACAAAGCCATCGCGAATGTTCTCCAAGGGGACACTAAATCATTAAAACAATGAACTAGGTAAGCCTGCTGAAGGTTTGTAATTACTCCGTTATTGATTCCATTGGGGGGAGGGTTGGTGCGATGTTATGATCTTTTACCAGGTTACTCAAATAATGGAGTTGAACTGCAATTTCCGTTAGCCTTATCCTTATATTTACTATCTTAATCACATCTTTTTATCATTTACTCTTTTACTCTTTCATTTTCCTATATTTTAAACACTATTTGAACGGCGTAAAAAAGTACGGTACCAATAGTGAAGTTCATGGTTTTAACCGTCAATTCCTGATCTTGTTTATATTCAGTAAACAGCTTTATGCTCCCGGAGGGGTGAATATTTAGCTGTTACAAACACGCTTACAAGAGAGCAAAATGAACTGAAGCTTAAACATTGAATACACAGGAGGCTTAATAGATGGCATTTACAGCATTATGATTGAGATGCAAACGTCCTTGTAAGCTCCCTAACATCCAAGTCCTGGTCCCGCAAAATACCCACCGAATATGTAATTAGGGATGAGTGCTAAGCATCTGTTGGAACATAAATGCATCTGTACCTAGGTTGTTGCTTAGCTTTTCTTACAGACAAATATTGCACCAGAAAGAGCGTGGCTTGCATTGGTGTGTATTTTTAAGGAAGCATTTCGCATTAATTGGCACAAGTAGACACAATAATCTCAAGTATGATTAGCATTGTAACGCCCCTACATCAAGACAGTTGCGTTAATGGCCTGTCTGGAATTGTTGCACGCTTCCTTTGGATCCCAGGAAATGGCACTGGTGTGCAACTGGACTAGTTGCGGAAGACACAACTGGTAATAATTCACAGTATTAAGCGTCGGGAGACAGAGTGTGATTGTAAACGGGCAGCGTTGAAAGCAAATATCACTTTTTTTCAAAATTAATTCACATGGAGCAACAAAGAACTTTAATGGATGAATGTGACATTATGACACTACTCTGAGACGGTGGAGAAACACACCTCACCATATATGTGCTTTCAGTAAATTGCGAGAGCCATTGCTACATATGGAAGAAAAAATAATATATTTTAATGCATTCAGCCATAAAGTGTGAAATCTGGAACAGAATACTAATTTGTTCACCTAGGCTTGTCACTTGGTTAATGAAAATACTGTCAGATGGTTATACCCAAGATCACTTCGCCTGCCTAATTCTGCAATCTCACTTCAGAAGAGACAGGAAATAAACTAATTGGGCACGAGGTATGGGGACATTATGGCTGCTTGAAGAGTCCCGGTGGCTGTAGTGACCAGAGAGGATTTATTACCGAATAAACGGATTACATCTAACGACGTAGTCCCTCAGTAAGTGGTCGGCACTAAATTACATTTTGACATAATATGTGTCTCACAAAATAACTCACAATTTACACAGATGAAAGCAATAGCCAATCCGCGAAAGCATATTGATATTCTTGTCTAGGGATACCAACAATTAATGTACAAATTATGGATTTGTGTCCTCAATATACCTCAAAGTACTGTAAAAAATAGTAGGGCAGACCAAATAAATTCAGCTACTCCGGCATCTTTTCCTGAGTAATATTTTTACCGATCTGGCTTGCTTATTGATATCATCAACGATCCAGGTACGCAGATTGTCTTGTTTCTCTGGTGCCGCTTGCACATGAAAAGTAGTGATGTGTGCTTACTTACAATAGTATACTACGCTCCTAGATTTTGAAATGAATCACCGCCTGCAGTCTACTATAAAACGAATCCTGCAAAGGTCCTGCAGCCACGTTCCTTTGGTAGAGGACTTGACATAGTCTATTTCTATCGAAAAACGATGTAATGCAGTGCGTTCGTCAACCCTATACGCTACGTAGCAATGACCAAACCATCGTGTGTGTATGTGAATAACGCCGTCATCTCAAAGTAGAATTTTCCCTTTTTCCCATCAATTTATACTACTGTTTTATAATCCCACTCCAGTCATCCTGCGGTACCTGTCACGCAATAGCATTTTTGCCCGTTATAAATGTATGTTCATTGTTCAAGACTTCACGCTTACTGGTTTGCTGACGTGTGGACTTTAGAGCTTAGAAGACATTTTATTGTCTCCGATATAATTCTAGAACTTCTCTAACAAAGGAAAGTGAGCAAAGAAACATGAGGAGAAATATTTGATTCTTGGCAAAAAAGTAGTCACTTGGCAATTCCTATAGGGTGGCATGGATAAAACTAGTATATCAAGATATGTGAGATCTCCGTTTAAGCGCGTATCGGTTAAATGCGCCGCTAAACAAAAATAATGTCAAATTAGAATTGAATGCAAAAAACAAGAAGGCACGGGATAGTTTTAGCGGATATACACCGTGTGGAAATTAAAAACAAGAATACGCACTCATGTATCGCTTCCTTTGGTCTCTGTGACACGTAAATTCAGTTTGAAGACATGAATAAAATAATACATATCAGCACAGATTTGACAACAAAGCGTTGGGGGCAATGGCAACATTCAATCGCTTTTAGAAAACATTCTAAGAAGGGCAGGAAACAAATGATTTGCGGAGGGTGTACCATGGTTGGCAAACCCGAAGATGAGGACAGTGGGGATAGTCTGCATGGGCGTTTGAATTGTTCAGCTGCAAAAGCATATCTGCCAGTATCAGATACAGAGCTTATGGGCCTGTCCAAACGGAGGGAACTTGGCACTAAAGCAACAAATGTGTGGCAAAACTGTTCAGAGTCCTTGTCTAGAATCGACACCCAGTGAGAGACTCCAAAAATTTGCTTCAACCTCTACCAGACCCTACAACAACTTTGATTTAGGAATGTATGGCTTAAACCTATAGGTTGTTTTGTTCGTGCAACCTTTCTTTCGTATGTGCAGAAAACGATTTCACTGCGGTCTCGTGCTTAGTTGTGAATGTTTTCTCTCTGATTCTATGTACGCGTTTCATGTATGGAGCTGAGAACCGATCCGCACGGATGAACACGATATTCAGTGGACAGCAGGTATCAAAAGAAATTTTGACCTAGCTCGTTAACTGAACACAGTTTATAGATACATCAACATTATACTAAAGTCTCCGCATCCAAAAACATTTCTCTTAGTCGATATATGCGTTGAGCTGAACCGTGTCCTCTTTTAGGCGTGCGGTGTTTACAAAAAGTGAACTCCATATGACTTGCTTTAATATAGATGCCAGTGACAGCCTGAGTTTCTGATGTCTAGAAC